AATGGGAGGAGAAAGCATTCTGGGAGTTGCTTTCCACCCATCTTAAAGCGGCCAAAGTTGAGAAACACTGTTCTAGGGTCCACTGAGAAAGCTTATGCCTTTAAATAAAATCTTTCAGTTGGAAAAGGTGCTACCAGATTCCTCCTGATTTGCAATTAAGCAGGTCAATTTTCCCGCCAAACTCATTTAACTAATTAAAAACAAGCCCCATGTTAGAGTCCATTGCTATACCTGTTCAAACAGTCATCCAAGCATCCGCTTTTCCTACTGTCTTCAGGTTTTTTGCAGTTGCAAGTGGTGGCTTCGTAACCAGACAAAGGTTTCACGTCCACGTAAACGTCTGCAGGTGGGGGGGAAAAAGGGGTGGGGGAGATCCTAAATCAGTCTCAGGATGGGGGGCTGCCAATTTCAAGGGCTCTCCCACCCTCCCCAAATCTCAAGCCATCTGCCGAACAGAGAGCCCAACGTGACACAATTGGGGCCTGTGTACGTAGGTCAAGGGGTGCGGGTTCAAGTGAAGCGAGGGGGCTGACATGCTCCCTGGTTCTGCGGACCCCTGAAAGCCATTATAAACATAAGCGGACTTACTCGAACGGATTTTTTTATAAAGTGGGACGTCTGGCTTTTTGTACAGCTGAAACGAAAAGAAGACAGGCTCTTGTTATTACACTGCAGAATGAGGGCCTCCCTAGAAAAGAAGCACGTTTTTAAAAAAGGAAAGCTGTTTGCATTTTTCATAAAAGGGAGATTGGACTGCTGCCAGAGGGCCGAATATGTCAGTTGAGATACAGAGCCCTGATTTTTGCTGCCGTTTGTTAAAAAACTAAAAACAAATATAGATTTTGAGCAGCTCGAGGAAGGGGAAAGAGAAAAGGTCTTTGGCCTGGACTGTATATTCATATACAAGAGCTGATGGAAGATTCCTTGTCCCACCCAGGTAAATGCGTCTTGCTTTGCATTAGAGGAAGAGAATTTGGGCGCGTAAAGACCGAAAACAGGATCTCAAAAAGAGCTTGGGAGTGATGACATTTTTCTTGCACAAGACCAACACAGCTTGCTCCACGCAGCATGGTTATCCTAAACCAGGGTTTACTGCAATGGCCAACTACAATCCTTGTTGTGTGGATCTGATCCATGGCTATAGCTCATTACAGTAAACCCTGGTTTACGTTAACCATTCTGTGTGGAGCTAACTATGCGAACACAGCGAACAGTGGTGTCTTTCATCAACCAGGCTCAGCCAAGAACCGCTCGGCTGAATGGCCAAACCCAGGTCTGGAGACAGGATGAAGGAATCCGGTTCTCCAATCAGTTCTGCTGCTCGCCTGCGTGGAATTCTGTTACCTAGGGCTACCCCATATATGGTTTAATACACAGCTGGGTTTGGTTACCCAAAGGACACACAAGGATGTACCCCATCATGCCTGGATCTGGTGACCTTCAACTGTGTTGAGATTGCTGGCTGGAAATTCTCCCCAACATTTTGGAGAGAGCCAGCTTGGCGAAAGCAGAGCGAAGCCATCATGATTCTAATTTTGCAGTGAATTATCCAAGGGAGAAGGAACTTCACACTCATTTTTTTTCCAGCAACACTGTAACATCTGCTGGCTGCAACTGAGCAAACTGATTCCCCCAGGCAACGGGCGGGAAAGGACAGTGACAGCAAGCAGGCTGGGCAAAGCAAAATCTTTGGGACGGAGAGAGTTTTTTCCCTTTCGTGTACGGACCCCCGAGGAGGGTTCTGAATCAACACAGAAGGAGCTGCTCTGCACGCTCCTTCTCCTTTCGAAAACTTCGGCTTTAAGGTGGAATAAATAAAATTAGGAAAAC